ATTTTATATAAATATACCTATAATGGCTTTCAAAATTATTGTGGGACCTAATTTTTAGTGTGCACTTCTGGAATTAAAAGTTTGCGCACGTCTATGTTTCTTTCTACCATTAACCAATACGTAGCCGAAGCAGCCATCGTAAATCTAGAAGAGTTTATTCACAATGCTCCAACTGCTGCGATCACTAACCCCTAAACATATACTGAAACCAAGGGCGCCCATATGGGAGGGGCAAGGGAGGGACATGTCACTCCCCCTGGAAAATGTCAAAAATTTTGGAAAATTGTTTACTATGATCAGAATATATTTAAATAGAATTTAAAAATTGAATTTAATATATGAATATCTATAATTTTTTTTATGAAAAATCTATTTATTTAGTTTGGAAAATCAGGTTATCAGCTATAAATAACAATATGCTTTTTCGTTTCTATTCTATGGATAATTATCAATTCTTAAAATATTGTGTTATCCAGAAATACGGTATGTATATGTGTATGTGAAAACCACCATAATAATTGTATAATATTTGTAAATTAATATTTTAATAAATATAACTAATGTTTTAAGTGTCCAATTTATATTTTTAATTAAATAAAAATTTCAATAAATTACTTTTATGGTAAATTGGTTAAATAATTATTACTTCCAATTTGATATACATATATAATGTAATAGTATAATGTAAAATTGTAAACCCCTTCCTATATCGTGGGCCATTCCTATTTATGAATAGATTGATAAATTAAAATGTTGTCCCCCCTTGAGAATTTTCCTATGCGCGCCCTTAAGTGTGCGATAGTATAGACATAGATTAAATATACATAATAAATAATTATATTAAATATATGTATTATACAATACGTATAATCTATGGTATAGGTAGGAATGTAGACGAGGAGTGGTCTCTGACCTTAAGTGCCGCCAGCTAGTTTTGTGACCGTCAGGCTTTATTGTTTTACACGATTATACAGTGCTATTTTTTAAGATGTTTGTCCCTTAAACGTATTATTTCTGTGCTTGTAAAAAAGCAAAATAAGTAACATGTGTGAAAAAATAATGTAGCGTTCGCTATAAATATAAATAAGAAAATAACTCACCGTTCTTTTAGGGTGGTCGCCTGCGCTGACTCGCGTCTTGTGGAAACGGATAAAATAAAGTAACTCAATAATTTATGTCCCGAGATATTAATAAAAACAAAAATCAATGAATGATATGGAAAACAAAAAAGTACTGGATATCTTCAAAAATTTGTCAAGGCTAATGACACAAATAACTAAAGATTCTTCTAACAACTAATTAACTACAGATTCTAGAGGCGTAATTTTTTACGCTTACAAATGGCTATAATAATAATCGTAATACATAACAAATAAATGCAACAATATCGTCTTTTCGATTGTTACTTGCGGGGTACAGCGAAAACTCCTTTTCGTCGAATAATAATAGTTAGTTTGCTGCTCTAGAAACTGCACTAACGCACGGGCGTGATCAACGTCAGAGCGTGTTCTTACAAAATATGTGGCATTAATGCTCCTCAGTGATAATTGAATGCTATCCAATGGTTGGTAATCGTGCCACTAACCAATATTTTCATAATGACCGTAATGACAAGAGATAATTTTCCCTATATGTTTCTCTGATAGAAAATTCATACCTATTATTAAAGTGTCATCCAGTGAAAATTACTTAAAATATTTTCTGGTCAAGATGATATTGGTCAGACCATAACGGCATCAAAAGAACTACTATACAATATATACAATATAATATATTGTCTGCTGGTGGTTCAACAAATTACCATCGGGATTGTACAGTATATATTGTAGAGTACAAATACTAATATACATAAATTTTAGTGTTTAATGGTTATTACGATGGTAATTTTTTGAACCACCAGCAGACACGAAAAAATAGGACATACACCAGTGAATAGGAATGTGGACACATGTAACCGATGCACTTCTGAGCCCGAAAATAATGTCGGTGGTACAACTTCATAATACATGTTTCATATTCTGTGGTACAACCGTCTAGATAAGTAATCGCCATACCGCGATAACGCGCCGATTAAAAGTTCGAGAATATTCTCGACCATCAGCATTATCGGGTAGACCAGTTGGATTGGGTATGGCACGTGTGACGGCCCGTTAGTACACTCATATTTATATTTCATTTTTATAAATAAATATTTATTTATATATCAACATTTTTTTTTTTATATTTTAAAATCAAAAAATTACAAAAGTATAATAAAATTAAAATATTCATGTATAAATTTAATAAAATCAATGAGTATATTTGTAATAAAAATATAATTATTTAAGTTATATTAAATTATTAATAATAAAAATAGATTATTGCATAAAAAATTAAGATAACATTTTTTTCACATTTTTTAATGCCATTTTGGCAGCAGCAACTTTAGCTTCTTTCTTATTTTGACCAAATCCATATATAGTCATATTTTTGTTGTTCAATATTATGTCCAATTGAATCATAGTTCCCAGGCCTCTCTCAAGTGCTTTAGCTGAAGCGGTAGGTTTACTATAACATAAATAACAATAGACTTAAAAAAAAAAAATCATATAAGCAATAATTTTAAATACGAATCTTATGTTTTATTTTAAATTTAAATTTATTGTTAAGAATTTAAAAACAATTTATTCTACCTATACTCAGATTATTAAAATAAAAGTATAAATATTAAAATGTGAATTGATCCTTCGTTAAAACAATATGCATGTCAATATGTACAATATGTCATTAATTTATGACAATTAGGTTTTAAAAATTGATAAACAATTTTTTTCAATCGCTGTTTTTGTAATAATAGTATTTTTTTTTTTTAGCTTTTACGAGCCATTTAGGCTCTCTTTTTGTAATAATAGTATATATAATTAAATAAATTGTTTTAGTAATAATAATATATATATATTTTATTAGTTTTCAATAATTTTATTTTCAGTGTCTAATAATATTTGTTAAAGGAATTTAATAAGAATTTTTTAAAAAATATATATCTATGATTTCGTTGACTTTATGACTATTGATAGGACTCTAGATGGAAAATTATGATTTTGGTAAAACAGAATCTCTGAGTATTCTAATTTGATTGCAAGGAAAACTCCTTATATCACAATATACAATTATATTACAGTATAGTTTAAATATCATGAATATAATATAATATTTCAATGATTATTTAAGTATTAATATTGATACTAATACAATATCTTTATTTTTTTTTCAAAAGATTTTGGTGCCTGAGAACTTAAAATATTTACTTATAATTTATAAATGTGAATATATATGTTAGCAAAATAACTTTATATATTATCTAATATGTAGCACAAACCTGAAACATGGTTGTAATTTAGTTTCATGTAAAATACGAATAGGATTTTTAGGCACATTTGTGCTGAATTCTTCTGTAAAATAATAATAATAATAATAATTAATACTTTGTAATTGAGGTTCCATTTTGAGGTATTTCTAGAAATTATAGTTTTTAAATTTTTAATAAATCTCAATAGATTCAATAAATAAAATTAATAATAATGAGTACAACAAAATGTTCACAGTATTTAGAGATATAAAAAACAAAAATGTCATTCACTTTAAAATAAATGTGGAAAAATATATAAATGTTCGAACGCGGAACGAGTTATATCTCGTATCGATGCTTTATCCTCCCATGGTCCCACGCCAATTCGTCGGCGTAAGCCTTGCCTTTTTTTGTCTTTTTTGAGCGGTGGAACTGAGCGTAACGTTCGCCCTCCGCATTCGTGCAAGGGTGGTTACAATTCCTTTTTATATTGTTGGAGATCTTGAAGAACTGTCTATCGTCACGGTTCAAGAGAGTTCGCCATATTGGTTACCACAAGAAATCGTATCAAGCGCTGTACTATCACACAGGTCACACTGTCAACACCAGGTCGATCTTTCTTTTTTATTGCTTAGCCCCCCCTACATGTGATCAAAATGTATATTAGAATATAAGATTTTCTTACCTGGGCGCCTATTAATAAATCAAAAAATATACGTGTTTCCAACCCATAAATTGTAAAACTTTCTAATTGTGGTTTAACCCTCCTCCACTCCCGTCCACAAAAAAAAAAAAAACGCAAGTCGTTGCCGACATCCGCAATATTTATAGGATCGGTATCGGCGCCAACAATAGATTATTTTAGATTACAACTTTTAAGACAAGACATTTTAAAGTAATAAATTGTGATTTAATAATTAATTAAAAACTTGTACTTGTTTATATTCTTTAACTTACTGATTTCATTTTCCAAAAATCTATAGCAAATTTTCCATACAAGATTTAAATCTCTGCCACAATCTAAATAGATTGCACCAATTAAAGATTCAAACAAGTCTCCCAATACTTTTGGTACATCAACAGATTCAGCAGCGTAACAATCACTTTCTTCTATGAGATAAAGAACCTATGAAAATGCTTAATTTTATAACAATTTAACAGTTTAACATTAAAATTATATTAAATTTTACTTCTTGACCAATTTTATGGTTGTTTTTCTCCTGATGTTCAAAAAAACGATCTATTGCATTTGTCAATTCTACAGACTCAGCTAGGATGAACCTATGTAATCCAATGCGAGTGCTTAATGAGGCAAATGTAATATTATTTACAAGTGAAGATCTAATATCTGTAATATCACCAGGCGTTTTGTTGTGACAATGTTCTATTATATATGTAGTAATTAAAAAATCTGAAATAGAAATTTTTATTTTAAAAATTATATTTATGATTAAGATATTAACCGCTTTTTTATATTTGATATTTTAGACCTGAGCTTTGAATAAGTATTATACCAGGTCAAAAATAATTAATAATTTTTTTCAGTTAGTTTTTAATGTTGTATATAAGTAGCCTTTTATTAAAGGTTAGACAAAGATATTTAACGTTCAGAGCACTTGGCACTAAAGAGCTATAAATAAAGACTAAGCAGGGGCGTAGCGTACATGTAAGCACTGTAAGCACTGCTTACATTTGAAAAGAGGAAAAAAAGTTTTTTTGAATAAAATAAAATCAAATAATCAATTTAATAAAAATTATCATTTATTTTTAGGATGCGCGTAACATGTTTGATGGTTGCTTCACAAGTATATAGTAGTGTACGTGCCACCGCGCGCCGCGCCATCATTCTCACCGTCTACATTATCGATGCCCATAGTATTATCAGCGATTTATTTTCGTGTTATTTTATTTATACTATTCACCGTGTAATGCGAATTGAAACTGCTTACGCGAGCCTATTAAAGTGAAATAGGCAAAGTACATTAGGAGGGGGCACGTATTATTACATAGTTTGTAAGCATTTTTCATAATGCATACGCGACCGTGTGACAGCGAATAGCGATCATTGAATGCGAATGCAACGTGCGTTTACAACACTACTTTTTTATTAATAATGTTTAATGTATTACAAAAAAATGGACTCTTCGACAAGCTCTTCAGGTAATAACGAATGTAATTGTATTATTGAAAAATTACTATTAAAATCGTTTGGATCAAATACTTTTATTGAAAAGCAAAATATTATAAATAAAGGGAGACCTACACCAACACTTCAAGATTTAAAATCAAAATGTAAAAATAATTTTCGTTACTTTAATCCCTCTTATTATAATACTAATAAATGGGTTTCTGGTTGTCAAAAAACTCAAAAATTATATTGCTGGCCGTGTATTTTATTTTCGCATGAATCTAATACTTGGTCTAAGTATGGCTGCAGTGATTTAAACAATTATCATAATTTAAAACATCGACATGAAATAAATCGCTCTCATATCGAATCTTTAATTACTTTAAAGAAATTTGGCAATATTAGAATAGAAACATGTCTTAGTGAAGCATATAAGTAAAGTATCGAAAAACATAATGAGTCTGTTAAAAATAATAGGTACGTTTTAAGTCGATTAATTGATGCAACATGTTATTTGGCAAAACAAGAGCTCTCATTTCGCGGACATGACGAACAAGTCACATCTATTAACAGGGGAAATTATGTTGAGTTAATACATTTAATGGGTACACTCGATCCAAAATTAAGTGGACATCTTTCGACATCTACTGTTTTTTCTGGACTTTCTGGAGACATACAAAATGATCTCATTCAATCTATTTCTAATATCTTATTAAAAACTATCAAAAACGAAATTGAACATACAAATTTTATTTCTATAATTATGGATGAAACAACAGATATCATGTCCAAATCTCAGTTATCTACAATCTTATGATATGTGACTAATGAAGGAGTAGAAGAAAGATTTTTGGGATTTGTAGATGTCAGTCATGATCGATCTGCTAAGTGTTTAGCTGAACATGTTTTTCGTTTATTATATGAACATAAATGCATAGATAAATTAGTTGCACAGACTTATGACGGGACTGCCGTCATGTCAGGACAACATAACGGGTTACAGACATTAGTTCGCTCAAAATGTAAAAACGCGATTTTTGTACATTTTTATGCTCATAAACTAAATTTAATATTAAAACAATCCGTCGATTATATAAAAGAATGTAAAATATTTTTCACTACGCTCTCTGGACTTTCATCATTTTTTTCAAAATCAACAAAAATAATTCACGCACTTGATCAAGAAGTAAAAAAAAGATTTCCGTCTGTGGCTCCAACACGATGGAATTATAATAGTAGACTTATTGAAATGATGTCTGAGTACAAAGAAGAAGTTTTAAATCTCATGATTTCGATCGTAGAAAATGGTGAGAAATGGGATAGTGAAACGTTATTGTGCGCTAAAGGATTTTGTCAAACAATTCAAGATTTTGACTTCAATTTTTTTCTTTTAATATTTGGAAATATTTTACCTCAAGCAACAATACTTTTTAATATAATACAAACAAAAATATTTGATGTGACTTATTGTAATAAAAAAATATTTGATTTTTTAAATCATTTAAAAAATATGAAAAATGATTTTGAACGCATTTGGTTGAAATCGGAACAGTATCATACAGATTTACCGTTAAGATCAAAAAGGCAAAGGGTGACTCAAGTATCAGTTGTAGATAGAAAAACAAATTACCGAAGACTCTATTTTGAAATCATTGACGTATTAATTTCAAAAACTAATGAGAGATTTGCAGAGATAACTCAACTGACTTTTTTTTTCTTTATTAGATTTTTTAAAATTTGAACAGTATGTCAATAAATTTCCTACAAATTCAATGGACTCGTTGAAAGATAAATATGGTGAACATTTTGATTTTGCAATTTTACGAAGTGAACTTTCTATTATATACTCATCTACTGAATTTCATAAAGCAAACATTCATGAACTTTGGATGTATCTCAAATCTACTGACTTATCAGATAGCTTACCACAAGTTACAAAATTAGCATCATTGATTGTAACCATTCCAGCAACAAGTGCAGGCGCTGAACGCTCATTTTCCTGTTTGAAAAGAATAAAGACGCATCTCAGAAACTCCCAGTCCCAAAATAGACTTTCAGATCTGTCGCTTTTAACAATTGAGAAACGATTGTTGACTACACTTCAAAATCAAAATTCATTTTATGATGATGTAATTGACGAGTTCACAAAAAAAACAAGAAGAATCGATTTGACATATAAATAAATGTTATTATTATTTATTAGAAGTTTTTTTTTTTTTTAATAAAATTCTAAAATATGTAAGTAAATTAATTTATTGGTATCAGTGTGAGGATGGGGGGGGATTATAATATGTACTACTGCTTACAGACTCTCACAACTCACGCCACGCCACTGAAACTAAGGGTGAATGTTGACTGATAAACTTATTTAAAGTATACCTTAGGAAGGGTGAGTGAATAGATAAAATGGTTTTATCATCTGCATGATTGATAACCAGTGCATTAAATATGCAAAATATAGAGTTATTACTAACCACTATTATAGAGCTTGGAAGTTAATGAAATTGCTTATTTTTTGTATTAATCTAATTAAATGCAGACCTAGATATAAATTTGATTTAAGTTTTATTGAATCAAATAATACAATTTTTATTTTTAATAAAACTTTATTAACTTTAAAATATTATTAAAATTAAGTAAAACTTAAGAACTTATATTAAATAACTGTACAATTTAAATATAATAAAGTATGTACCAACCTAGAATGGCATCGCCAAGAAATTCAAGTCTTTGATAGCATTCAGAATATCCAAATCGGTGTGTTGGGTGGGTAAGTGCTTGAATTAAAAGATGTTTATTGTTAAATGAGTAGTCAATTCTTCGCTCAAGAATTTCATATCCAGGTAAAATATAAGAATAATTTAAATCTTTGTATAATCCATCTTTCATATTAGGTTTGGGTTTGAATGTATCAATGTATTCTTCTGGTATGATACCCAAACCATGAAGAATCTTAAAGCCCCCTTCAACTCCTAAATACTAGAGTGAAAATAATAAGGGTTAAACCAATTATTGCAGTATATTGCTATTATTCACACTTACATAAACATAAGTACCAATCAATGATTCTACACAATCGGCGACCATTTTGTCTGAAACTGATTGTTTATGTATGAATAAATCAGATTGTGAATGACCCATTTGTGGTCTTCCTTCGTCATCATCATCACTATCAGACATGGGCATTTCAGATAATTTTTTAAATTTTAAAATTTCATTTTCAACTTGATCCCAAGTTTCATCTGACATTTGTCCTAAATGAAAAAAATTTGATAAAAGAATAAATATAAATTTTTGCACATCAATCCAAACATTTAATTTTAAAATGTTAACATAAATTTACCAGATAATTTGTCTTCTCTTGGAATGACTATTTGATGAAGGACATCAGACTGTAAATTACCTTTGTTAATAATTTCCACTAACTTTTGAGGAACAGCAAAGCATGGAGGTACCCAATCCATTGTTGGCTCAAAAATATTGACCTTTATTTTAAATTATATTTATGCAATTATGTATATTTTGTGAGTTATAACGATTAATTAAATACCTTTAAATATGATCCAATATTTAATTTATTTCCAACATATAATAAGTTTCGATTACCAACTAATTTCATTTTTAATTCAGTAAGAACTCCTTCATTTTCGGATTCATATGCATCAAATAACGACAAAGAAGTAGCAAATTTAAGAAAACTATCACCATATGTTTCCATTCGCTCATAATTGAACATATCATTTGCAAATGGTGGTGTTATAACCTATACATAAAATTTAATATAAATCTTGATTAATAATAATTTTTTTTCTATCATGATATATTCAAATTTTTCTTACCAACTAGTACCACTACTTAAACATACTCTAATTTTATAGTAATAAAAAATTCAAGTTATTTTTTAGACAGTTAAAGGATGAAAAAAAAATGAACTATAAGTGTTTAATTCAATTAAACTACAATAAAACAAAAAAACTAATATCTAGCAAGATATTTCTATTGGGATAATACAGTAAACTACTTTTTATAATATATATATATACGTTTAGGTTTACTTTTAAAATATCACTTTGTTTTGGCCCAATATTTTGATTTGTAAGTTCCTTGTTTAATGGACTCAATGCAGGTGGTTCATTATTCGTTAAATTTAAGATGTTTAGCTCAGTTATCACTTTCTTTAGTATATCTGCAACCTCAACCTAAAATTATGAATATTTATTAATATACTTGAAAATATTAATATTATACTTATTATTATATGATCATTAAATTAATACATTATAGATATGTAAAAGACATTCAACTATATTTTCACAATATTTCATAAAAATAGATAGTAATTAGACTTTAAAATTAACTAAATTAAAAAAATAAAGTTGAATATAAAGTTATTTCTATAGTATTATAACTATACATGTATAAATGTGTATAATAAAAATTAAGTTGATATTAAGAATATATACATGAATACTTTAAAAGTAGTTAAGTAGATTAATAACATTATAGTAAATTAAAAACATCTCCAGATTATTTTTTGAAAGTAAAAATTTATTAAAATTGATTATGTTCTAATAAATAATAAAATGTTTATTTGGAAAAGGGTAATTCAATGCCAAATTAATATTTTCAAATTATACTAAATATATTTTATTTTTAACATTAACAAAACAAATAGAAATATTTAACTTAAAAAACAAAAAAAAAAAAAAATACCAATATTAACAAAACATTAGAATTATCAACTTATTATTATTTTTCAGTTCTTGTTAGATAACTAATATTCCATAAAAATGTATCACTCCACCATTAAACTCAAAAAAAAAAAAAAAAAACACTAGAAACTATCTAAGATTGAATAGATTTGAACATAAGAATTTTGTTGTAAATTCATCGAAGCATTCTCATTTCTGCAACACTCTTACTTTGTTCTATTTTCCTGTCAACCACCCAACCATATAGCATAGTTGGTCTCAATACACTCCTGTAAAATTTATTTTTCAGTCTCATTAGAATTCTCTTATCACATAAAACGCCTAACTCTTCTCTCAATTTCATCCAATCGTATTTAATCTTATGTTTTAAATTCATAAATATATATATATTCAAATACATATACAAATATATATACAGTAGGGTCTCGATAATCCGAACACAGTTTGAGCAATATTGCATCATAATATTAATAAATAAGTATGTGTATCATAATAATAATAAATATTATATTTACTGGGTGCATATACACACATATATAATTATAATAATTTTTTGTATACATTGTCTTTTTAAATTACGAGTTTTTATATGATTAATACAGATAAAAATAAATTTTATAATTTAAATAACAGTAAAATTGATGTTTTTATTAAGCCATAGATAATCCGTATAAATCGGTAATCCGAACAACCCCTTTTCCCAATCTCGTTCATATTATCGAGACCTTACTGTATAATGTATTTTAATAGCCACCAATTGTTTGAGGTCCCAAATCCAAAATTGGACGGAGTGACCACGCGTCAACAGGCGCTGTATATAAAATATTAATAAATAAGTAATTGCTTTCGGCTAGTCGTCACGCGCACACGTGCAACACCTTTCTAACTCCTTTTCCTTTCTTCTCGTGCTCTAATAGTCTTATTAACTATAAAATGTATATCAAAATACTCATTTCTAAATACCACCGAGTAGTGTGTACATTTTCAACTTACAAGAGGTCTGGGCCTCATAGAAAAACTGAAGATCTCGTTATTTTTAATTAACCGGTAAGAACTAATTACTGACAACAACGTTACATAATACCGCGCGGAGCCCACTACTGGCATATCGCTTACCTTATCTCTCATCCATGCTAACGGTCGACTACAGATAATCAACAATAAATTACATAAATTACGTAAATAATAAATATTTAATTATACAACTCATATTAAATATATCTACTTTGTCAAAGAAAAAAGTTCGTCAAATAACAATTAAAAATGTGTCTATGTTCCATTATTGGTGCCCTCCGCATCACCCCATCACCCGCATTGGAAGTCGAACTATGCGTTCCTCCCTTGGAGGTTCGGGTTCGTATCTTAGGTAGCAAATTCTTGCTGAAAAAGTTGGCTTCCTCTTTTTAGCCGCGATTCTATTCCCACGTTATATTTATCTATTTTCCACGTTTGGCATTACTCAGCCAAATCAATCCCATTATTATCCACCATTATCGATTCTCTACGTTCATTTATTCCCTTTATTTACTCTTCTTCAGCCCGTTTGCCTTTATACGACACATCATTCGATACTCTTTTGTTAAATGTTTTTTCAATCATCTGTTCGCCATTTCTTGGTTTTCCTATTTCTTCTATTAGATCCTTCCCACCTTCTATTGTTAATTCACTATTTAACGATTACATTTTAGCCCATTATCCTAACTCCTGTTTAATCTTCACGGACGGATCCGTTGCCGAATTTTTCGCGGGCTACTCTTTTTTCATCAATAGCCTTTCTATCAAGTACTCCAATAATGCTCCCTTATCCGCCTCATCTTATACAACAGGATGCTTCACCATATTGGTAGCTCTGCATACCTTTAAAAACTTAAATACATCTCACCTTGTCTCACCCGTTTCCTATCTTATTCTCCAAATTCGTTCGATCCTCTTCTCTCTTTCCTGCCTTGGATATACATCGACCTCTTATAGGTTCCCAATCATACCAGTATTTTAGGCAACGAAATCGCAGACGCTCTTGAATTTCATGCTATTACAATGTCCCTTCTCCGATCAAAATTTCCTATTCCGATTGTTACATCCAATCTTGAGGCGCACACTTTGAGATTTTAGAATCTGAAATGATCAAACCTACCTCCAACCTTCGCTGTTTCTTATCGCCTAGTTTGTCCTCACGTCCTACAATTTCTCTGGTTTCATAATATCTCTATTTCCTGTAAAGTCATCATCTCCTATATCGCCACCGGTTAGGCCACAACCGCCTCCTGGCCCACTCATTCCATTTATCTTTTAATGATTCTCCCTTCTGTACTTGGCACGTTGATCCTGCAATATGCGATGCTTCCCATCTCCTCTTTAATTGTCCAGACCTTCTTACTAAACGCCAGCTTCTCTCCAATATCTGTTCTTCCTTTAATATTCCCTTTACCCTCCCGCATATTTTCCAATCTCCTAATGCATTCCTTATTACGTCCATCGTTAACTTCTTCCTCTTAGAAGGCTTTTCACTTTAACTATGTTTATTATCTAATATTGCTTTTCTAGTTGTTTTATGTAGTTAAATTGTATTGTTTATTTATCATCGGTGAGGCAAATATTTTAATGCGCCTTTCAAAAAAAAAGTTATAACGGCATTCACTGACGATGACAATCTTCGTTCTCCTAGAATTCCTTTTAACCGAAAAAACAATAAAAATGAAACAGCAATAAAAATAAAACAACAACCCAATCTCAAATATTTTCTTCACTAAACCGATATGCTGCATATCAAGAAAAGAATATTTTTGATTTTGATACCGAAATTGTTACTGAAAAAATGTCAACAGATTCTCACACTCCCTCAGGATTCACAGCAATGACACGTTCAACATATCCCCAAAAAAATATCAAATACCTCCAATGATCTTTATCGTCAACCAACAACTCGACTATAATCTTCTACGTAAATAACAAATGGATATCATCAGGGAAAATGGTTTTTACTGCATAACTATTCAAAAAAATATGAAAGTTTCAAGCTAATTATTTCTGATTTAGCTATCGTCAAATAATTCATCATTTTTTGAAAAAAACGCTCAATTTCATACATATCAACCACATAAAGAAAAACCTTTCAGAGTAGTACTACATAATCTCCATCTGTCTACCTCATATGAAGAACATTGGCGGATATCCGGGGGGACTTGGGGGGCTTAGCCCCACCTGATAACCACGAAGCCCCCTCAAAAAAGTTTACCAAATTTTAAAAAAAAATTTTTCAAACATACATCGTACATTTCAAATATTGAGAACATTTTCCTTATATTATATATATATATATATATGTTATATACCAATACAACAGCGATCGGTTGGTCGATCTTTCTAGGAATAAAGGTCGAACTCGAATAAAAATTAATTTAACCATTATCGGTCGATAAATTCATAGAGCTTCAATATGAAGGAAGTTTAATATTTATTGATCATTATAAGGTAATATATATTTTATATTTAATATTTCTTTATACATCTTACATTTATACCTAAATTATACTTATGTTTGTATTTTGTATTTTATATCATATATTAATACATATGTTTTGAAATAGGGTAACATAATAGCAAAAATAATTTCTTAATTATATATTTTAGGACTTATTGGGTATCAATAAACAAAATTTAAAATCAGAAATTAATTTAGCTGAAAATTGCTTAAATAAAGACAACGCCAATTTCGGTATTGAAGATTTGAAAACTACAATCAGTAGAAAAATATTTTAGATTTTATATAAATTTTTACAAGTAGCAATCACTTTGCCAGTTAGCTCTGCAACGCGTGAAGCGTGAGCGTAGTTTTTCAGCTATGCGTAAAATTAAGAAATAGGTGAGAACTTCTGTGCTCCAAGATCGGTTTACTTATCTATCTGTTCTACATATTGAAAAAGACCTGATTAAAAGTATTGACAGTGAAGACATTTTAAACCAATTCTCAAAATTCTCCAGAATGGTGGTTTTAAAATAAAATATTCATTACTGTTATTATCTAATAATGTGTTAATGGTTTTTTATGTATTGTATAATTTTGTAATATCAATAAAAAAATAGATTTTTTTGGATAAAATAAAATTTGAATATAATGTTTATAATTTGTAAATAATCTCTAAATAGAGTGTAGGACCGAAATCCCCACTTTTTAGATTTATGTAAATAATTGTAGTTCCCACATTTTCAATGGATATCCGCCTATAGTGAAGAAATAAAATCGACACTAGAAATCAACTTTTCAAGCTCTACCACTCTTTTTCGTAGACCTGATTTTAAAGACGACAACAGTAAAACAATTTTCGATATTACATCTATTCTTCACACTAAAATCAAGGTAGAATAACCACATAAACGACTTGAATTAGTTCAATGCCAGAATTGCCAAGACTATGATCACACACGCTCTTATTGCAATTATAGTCCACGTTGTGTACGCTGTAGTAAAAATCACAAATCATCTTCCTGCGATAAACCAAATGACGTCTCACTCACCTGTGCACTTTGCCAAGGAAACTATCCAGCCAACTACAGAGGTTGTCACATACACAAGCAACTCCAAAAAAATCGAAAATCAATTTCAAAATTCACTCCCCCCCAATATGTAATCCCACCCACTTAACAAGTCAATCTACAGGCGACACCACTGCTTACTTCTACCACTTACGCTCAACACCAAACCTCCTAAAATTGATCAACCATATCAAACTTAAATGAATCAATACACTCTGCAGCAAAAGATTGCACTCCAAAAACCAAGTCAACCTTCCTTCTCACATAATTAAGTCTTAATTAACGAAAAACGTCGCGACAGGGCTCTATGACGAACTACCAAATATTCATCGGACAAAAGACGTATGAACACCCTGCACACTTAAAAAGATTACTCTCCAAATTTAGAAATGATTCAATCTCCAACTATTTAAATTATATTACATTATTTGATGGTTCATTTTGAAAAGCAACGAAAAAAAACCCTAAAAGATAAACTTTCATTCCCACTCTAAAAAAACCGGACAACTCATGGGCAACAGATAATCTAGAAAAAATAGAAACCTTCAAAATCTACTTAACTGATGTCTTCAAGGGCGTAGCCCGTTTCTCCCAAATTGTGTTTCTTTATGATTCCCGTTACGCCTAGAGTAGTTTAGACTAATTTAAAATTAAGTTGGCAATAGTTCAGTGAAATATTATAAGCGAACGTCAAGAAGAAATGGTGTTAAAGTTTCTGATCCCTAAAAGATGACTTATAAAACCATTAGTAATAAAATTATGGGTATTGCGATAGGAAATAAAAGAAATATCGTTTATAAATAAAAATATATAAAATCGATAGCAAATAACACATAAGAAACCCAGTCGTTATCGATTTGAGATCGAGCAAAACCTATAAAGCACACCGAAAAAATGAATTTATCAACGCGCTACATCATCACCGTAGCTTATCTTATTTAGTATAAAATAGGTACCTACTTATAACTTATAACAGTAATAGACAACAAATATTATCTTTGATCGTGGCCAGTGCGTATACGCGACGTCGACGTGTAAACATAACACGCATTTTACTAAAATGGCTGTGTTTTTAAAAACTAAAAGAGACAAAGATATGGTAATATTTAATAATTATAAATACAATTTTGGTTCAAATAATGTAAATAAATGTAAGATTCATTGGTGTTGTGTAAAACGTCCGTGTTCTGTTACGTTATATACTATTGGTTATTTCCAAAAAATTTTGGAAAACAAAGAGTATCGCCTCCTCACGGTGTTTTCTGGATAACGCTAAATGATACTCAAATATTAAAATATTATAATCATTGCCAACTTAATTTTAAATTGATCTAAACTTCTCTGAGCGAAATGGACAGGGATATTTTTGGGTGAAATGGGTCCCGCCCGTCTTCAAGTCTCACGACTACACAAACAATCCTCAATTTTCTAACGAAATTGAAGATTTTCTCTCAGTCCCACTACAAATGAATCTATCCCTCCAAAGTGTTCTCTCCAGCTGAAGTCTTACACGTCATCTCCACCTTCCCGAAAAGAAAATCACCAGGATTTGACCTCATAACGTTCGAAATTGCCAAAAATCTACCTAAAAAAACTATAATACTTCTCACTTATATTTTTAAGGCAACCCTTCGTCTCACCTATTTTCCTACCCAATGGAAATTCTCGGTCATCATAGTAATTCCTAAGACCGGAAAACCTCCCGAATCTTCTGAGGCTTGTAGAACAATAAGTCTACTTCCATTATTTTCCAAATTTTTCGAATAACTTATCCTCAATAGAATAAATGCTATCATATACATTGCCAATGTTATCTGTAACACACAATTTAGCTTCCGAAATTGGCATTCAACAATCCACCAAATAAACAGGATAACAGATATAATAGCATTCTCATTGGAAAAAAAAAACAATATTGTTCTGCCGTATTTCTCGATGTCACACAGGCCTCCGACCGCGTGTGGCATAACAGCCTCCTGTATAAAATAAAGAAACTACTACCTTCTTCATTTTACTTATTCCTCAAATTGTCAATTCGCCGTCCGCTATCGTTCTTCTCTTTCTTCCTCCTCCATAATACAAGCGGAAGTCTCCCAAGGAGCAATTATAGCTCTTCTTCTTTTTAACATATTCATAGTAAGTTAACCTACTTCCCCCAACAACTCGCAACTCACGAAAACCTAAACATGGCAGCTAACTCACTCCAATCTAACCTCTGTCAAATTGAAACCTGATGCAAAAACTGAAAAGTAAAAATTAATGAAACAAAATCTAGGTTCACTACCTTTACTCTAAAACAAGGCATCTTCCCTCGACTTAATTTCAATAATATTCGAATCCCTATTTCTCTAACCACAAAATATCTTGGTGTCCATTTCGATAAAAAACTTTTATGGAGCCACCATAAACACACAACAAAACTCAAACTGAATTCTCGTCTCAAACTCTTCAAATACTTCCTAAACTCCAAGTCAAAACTAATAATCAACACTAAATTAAACCTATACAAAAGTCTACTAAAATTAATTTAGTTGTACGGCGTTCAAATTTCGTTTAATCACAAAACCCATTCTACGTCTCGAATCAAACGTAACATAAATAATTAAAAATACAAATAGTTTCAGAAACTGCTGTCATATCCTATCAACGTTACCACAAGTCACACTCCCTAGTCATCCAAATACTCTAGTAAAAAATCTTTCCAATCCTATACCTGGAAACCCTCCTAAAAGATTGAAAAGTAAATGTTGTCACGACCTACTCCTTGATTAATCATAAAAAATAACCCAAAAGTTGGAATGTCGTCAGTGAACAGCTTATCCACCTAAGTCCCCAAGTATTTGTAAATCTTAACCTCACTTATGCTTATTATACTAAATTGTATGTATTGTATGAATAAAAAAAAGAAAAAAAAAGTGGACTGTATTAATTACAAACTATATTATACTCAAAAACGACACAACAATCAACGTAAAAGCCTGAAAACTGAACACGATATAAATATACAAAATACAGAAAAAGGAAGAATAAAAAGCCATGCAAAAAATAAATATAAAAGCTATTTAATAAACATTTAAATACCATTTCATGGTTTGAATTACTATCATTTGAATCTTCAATTTCTAAATCTTTCTTTGATTTAAATTTAAACTGTAATATAATTTATAATGTGTAAATATTTGGTTAAAAAATAATTAATATTAATTAATTAAATTATATAAGTATAAAATATATAATTAGATAAATTAGTAATATATTATATAATGAGGTGGCGTATTCCAGGGTTAGGCATTTTTATATTACAGTAATTGAATTACTTAAGTAATTTGTAATTGGTATTTGAATACATACTTTTGAAGCAACTTGTAATTTGTAATTAATTACTTAAAATTTGAGTATTAATTTCAGTAAAAATTACTGAAATTAAATGTTTTTAAAACTGAAATAAGTCGAAACTCCAAAATTTCATTAGTAATACAATATAAATACAAAAAAAATTAATTATACTGTGATTATCTTAATTAAGTACATACTATAATTTCTGGAAGCATTTAAGAAAAACAACAATTTTTGGAATCATATTAAAGTATCTATAACTAAAGAATTAACATATGTATAGGGTACGGGACTTGTTGCATTTGCATATTATTTAATAACGATGGCAGAATAGTCGAAGTAAGATATACATTTGTGTTAAGTCATAATGGATTGAAAAAAAAAATTTTAATTGGATATTTTCGCATCTTTCACCGTTTTCTGAGTAAAAAGCATATTTGAAAAATTTCGCCAATTTAATTGTTAATTATAACATATCTAGGCAGTTTTCGTTTGAAGTTAAGTAAATCTACTTTAAAGGTTAACATTATTTTTTTTTACTATCATGCGTCGATCAATATCCAGCGTAACGGTAGTGGCACCAAGCTAAGTAAAAAAAAAAAAATAGCGTAGTAGCCACGAACATATAATAATAGGAGCTAGAGTTGTATAATTGAAAAACCGTCTTAATTTATGTTAATCCTTTATCCAGCTCTACAGGGCAAATGGCTGAACATAAAAGGTTATGTAAAGTCATTGGCGCAACTAGTTCTAAAATATTGGAGGGGGCTGAAGCCCTATAAATAAATATAGTCAATGTGAGCTATGAGGGGCTTCGCCCCCCATACCCACCATTGCCGCAGACACAGAACAATAATTATTAATTGAAATAAAAACAATCATAAAATATTATTACCATAATATATTATTAAAAATCATGTACCTACTTCTATGTAATATGTTTTACATAAAATATGACATAACACCACCGCAATATTCCACCGTCGTCCGTCACATTTATTAGATAACAATATTATTATTAATTATGTAGGATTGTAGGAATTACAAAATAAACTATAATAATAATATTTTATATTTATACAATTTACTTTTGAATAATTTTCTGCGTCATAAATTCATATTATTTAGTATATATCTCACTATCCCATGCTTAAATTATCATTAAATTTTAAATAATCAAAAAATTTGAGGGGGCTATAATACATTTGGGAGGGGGGCTAAGCCCCCTAAGTCCCCCCCTAGTTGCGCCAATGTGTAAGGTATCAACCGATCAAAAATGTTGCGCAGATGGAATCAGAAAAACTCTTAATTAGATAAGTTAAATAGCATTAAAGTTATAAGCAAAAGTGTTCAAGTACTTTTAAGACCGATTTTTCGTATAAATATAATGCTGTCCCCCGATCCGCTGCTTCATCAATCGATTACACTACCTGCGTTACTGACGTTTCGTAGTACGACGTACGACGAGTAACGACAACGCACGATGTCAGACGCACAGACAGTTGCGGCGGCGGACGCGGAGAAACCCGTCAGTATTTATACTTTCAAATACAGCGTTGGAATAATTTAAATAATAAAATACAAAATCTTGTAATTAATTCATTAACAGTTGCAATAATTAAGGTCGATGGCCAATCAATTCTGTGTTTTGCCATCATAGTCCATATATGTATGACTCAAGCCCATTATACTTATTTACTAATTATTAAATATAATAATAAATGAGTTAGATGCATTGATATATGTACAAGTATTGAACGTTGGCCTCGAGGTGGTAAAGATGTTTACATTAAAATTATGGAAAAAAAACTTAGCCAGGAGACTAACGATGCCAGATTTAAGATTATAAACACATAAACACTAATAAATAGTTGATATCCCACCAAAAACACTTCGTTATAACTCCATGAAAAAAAGTTAAGATAGTAAAAAAACAATGATCGACGATTCACGATTTCGAGGAATTAATTAAGTTCATCCAACGCCGTTGTCAAATTTTAGAAAGTCTGAAAATTGATCGTCCCGAAAAATCCCGTGAAAAGACGCTTCTTCGAGGAAAACCTGTGCCTACGAAATCTGTGTTACCCACCACTACATTTGATTCATTCAAATTTACTTCACAGAATTGTCTAATGTGTAATAATGTTGATCATGTATTACAACAATGTCCGACATTCAAACAGCTAACGGTCGACAAGCGCCAGTACCTGGTACTATCTTTGTCCGTTTGGATGCATCCACGCGACCGTGTTTTAACACGTGCGACAGACCAAAGATTAGCCGTAGTCTCCATCGAGTATCGGAAAGCTGCCGGCAGATTGAACCCATCTTGAATATTGAACATGGCAGCACAACAGAGTACGCGAAGATATTAAAGTTCACGTCCTAACAGAACGGATGAAACGGCACAACAATTTTTAAGGTGGCTATAGTAATTCTAAGGGACTAAGACCCCCAATCCTCTATTTGTACCTATGCTTTCTGGCCCTTATCACAATCTCTGATTAAAGAAGTTTGTATTATAGAAGGTAATAACTATGTTAATATAATGTTAATCTCAATGAATAAATAAAAAAAAATAAAATATTGAGTTAAAAAATAAAAGTAGGAAATTTCTAATTTGTAACCTAACCTACTTAATTCTGCAGGAAAGAAAATAATTTATGTTTAAAAATTAAAAGATTTATTTTAAAATTACTTACATTATTTAAAGTAGGTGAGCTCAGTATTTGATTGTCCTAGAAAAAAAAAATAAAATGGTCTTATATACTCTGACCCAAGTTTGATAACTTACAAAAAAAAATTTGAATATTTGTTTAAATATTAAATCGAATAAGAAATATTTTAAATCATATACAGTGCTCGACTTGTAGAGGGATGCAGGGGGACGGAGTACCCCAAATAATTTTCAGAAATTTTAGCGTCCCCCTACTATTGTTATGCTATAACCATAACGCTCAGCCAGTTTTGGGGATATTCTTTTTTTTAAAGTAAATAGAGTCCCCCTTCTTTAATTCTGCCAAGTCGAGCATTGATAATATATAACCATAAAGTTAATTAATTTTAAATAAATATATAAATATATTATTTTAAGCCGCTAGGTTCGAAAGTCAATGAAACATGTAAAATTAATATTTTTATAATTTTTACTTCGTCATTTTTTGATTTATTCATTGCATACATAAATGTATGATAATTTAAAACATCTAACATGGTAGTGTTTTTCTGCCTATCAATATCAATAGGTAAATTAACTGAATTCCATTCATCACTCAAATTATCGTGAGAGTTTTCCAAGTATTTTAATGTTTCACTAATTGGTAAAATAATTTTTTTTTTTTTTTTCTTCATTAAAACCACAGAAGTTATCCATCTTTACAGTATCTATAAAATAAAAAAATAATAATATTAATTAATAAAATCAATAAACTTAACTTACCATTTGTTTTATTTTCTAATTTAATGTTACACAAAGAATTAACTTTTTCAAGAAGTTCTGCAGCTAGTAATAAATTACTGAATCTGTATAATATGGTTGGCAACATTAAAGCTTTTAACCAATATATTGATGGAAATCTATGCCATATACAAAATTCTGGTATAAGTATTTCAATGTATTCGCTTCGTTTATCAATTTTACCAGAGGTAAATCTATAAAAGCAAATAAATATTATAATTTTATTATTCAATTTTAATTAAATTTTAATTAATTAATATAAAAAGATTTACTTAGGTATTAAATAATTTATTTTTGACACTCCCAATGATTTTACTTTTATCATTGGTTGATTTTCGTTAGTCACCTGAATGTTATATTTGTCACTAAAATATGTTTTATACGTTTCATATTCACTGGTTGGAAAACAACTTTCAGGCGTCATATCATAATAAACATCAGTGACAATATACCTCTAAGTATTAGAAAAATAAGACCGGTAAAAGATATTTATAGCTTTACTTTTAAGACAAAATACTGATGTTAGTGAACAAAGGATTAAAAAATATTTCAAAAATTGTATAAGCTTCTAGGATAGTTGTGTTGAGCGGTGTAGCTAGACTAGTGCAACTGGTGTAAAGCACCGAGGCCCCCAATTCAATGGAAAATTGAAATTAACAAAAATAGAAGCTTATGTCAACTACATCTCATTTTTTTTTTTGATTTTGATCGAAATAAATAATGAAAAAATATTTTATTATTTATTATTTTTTTCATTTGAATTTCTTATCTTACTTTTTTACTTTTTATTCTTTGAGACATATCTGGATTAATCAAAATTGTTCATCTTTAATAATTAAGATAGCTGTAAATTTTTTGAATTATATCAGAAATTTGAATTTAGCACCTCAAATTTTTAAATTTAGTACTCTGCTTGGTAGGTTTATTAGTGGTGGTGACCACTTGCGGTAGCTAGTTAACAAATAAAACAATTTCTTATTTTATAATATAATTTATCCTAATTTTATTAATTTATTACGTACTAAAACGAAGAGAACATATGAAAGTGGGTTTAAAAAAATTAAATAAAAAATTAAATTAAAATTATAGAAGCCAGCCAGTATTCATATTCTTTCTCCATATAGTTAAAATCTAAAATTTCTAAAAGCTGTCCTTTTATCCATACAATTTAAGTACATGAATATAAACCTAATTCTTAGTTGAAGATAATTTTTAAACAATATTTTAGTGAGTGGTAAAATTGATAAATATTAAATAAGTTTTTACCTAATAAAACTTCACTTGCCTATCATGCACCAGGGCTTCCACAAGTCTAGCTACGCCACTGGTTGTATTAGTTCTAATATTTGAATACATTTCAAAGATATATAAATAATTTGTTCATTAACTTGTATTAAATATACAAAAATAATTTGATAACATTTGAGTTAAGAACATTTCATAAAAATTAATGTCATATTTCTGTGGTATGATGACAGACTTATTTGAAACTTCTTCTCCTTCGCCTTTCTTCCAACTATTTGGGGCCGGCCACTCTTATCTTAAACCTCCCTCCACTCGTCTTGATTTTTTATATCCCCTACGCAAACACCAATGACACTCATTTTTAATTGTATCCAACCATCTCTATTTTTTCCTCTTCTTCTTATCCTTTCAACGTTAATTTTCATAATCACTCTTACTGCTTTTATTTCTGCTCGCCTTATCATATAACCAAACCATCTTAGTCTATTTTCTCTCATCTTGTCCATTATCGATACTATACCAATACTACCATTCACAAATTCATTCCTTACTATATCTTGTTACTCCACTCATCCATCTACGCATTCTCATTTCCGCAACACTTGGCATAAGTGTTGAACCCGGCTTGGGTTCACACGGAGTCGTAAACTGGCCGAGAATACTACTCATTCTGCGTATGTCTCACGACTGCTTGAATTGCACGATCGATAATTTACGACCCTCAGTTCACACATATCAATTGCAGATGCTCCTGATTTTTTAGAGTTATTTATTTTTTCAATTTTTGATAATAAACTGATCTAATATTTTTAATCTTTTGGGTAGGGTTGCCATACGTCCCGGAAAACCGGGATTGTCACTGGTTTTGGACTTCGTGTCCCGGTGTCCCGAAAAAAGTTTTCGGGACGTCCACACGTCCCGGCTTAGACATCTAAAGGAAATGTGGTATTGTTTATTTTTTTAATTTCGACCAGTTTATTTCAAAGTACATTTTTAATCGTAATCGATTAACAATATATAATAAAAACATTATTTGTAATTTACATATATAATATATTTTATTTTACAAAAAGATTTTTAAATATTATATTGCCGGCATAGACGTACGCAGGGGGGTAACCGGGTGGGCCGTGGCCCCCCTGTGGACTCTGGATTTTTCTTATTTAAGTGTATATCTATATTATACAAGATGGCGAACATTTTTACATTTTACATGAATAAAGTAAAGCCTGTTTTAATTATATAGTATAGAATTTATATCTGTGAATAAATGTAATAAAGTTATTAGTTATTAATCAGATTAATCAGAACTTGAATATAATATAAAAATTGAAGATGTAATTCATGCATTCAAAAACCTTACTTTCGTTGACTCAGTAGGATGGAGTTGTAAATAGTATAATAATATGTAAATAAGGATTTCTTAGACATAAATTGTGTAAGTTTAATGAGTATTTATTTTTATACTTGTATTTTGAATAAAATAAATAATTTATAAAATTTAAAATATTTAATTATACTGTATTTAGTACAAGAATCTTTGGTTCACTTTTTTTAAGGGCCCCCCTGCGGACAAAGTTTGCGCACGCCAATGATTGCCGGCCATTAATGGTCTTCTTCAGTGACGTATACATAACTTTTGTATGGGGGGGGGGGGGGG